AAGACACTTTTGGTTGGTTCCTGTTGGTTTTGCACCTTTTTTTACCACCCCAGCTTGTCAACCCCATTATAACGACACAGATCATTCTGCCTATTCACGCCAGAGTCCTGCTGAAAAAGTGATTGACAGGTGGTAATTTGTGTTTAACTTATTTTTATTTATCTATGATTTGTTTATGGGTAAAACAAAGACCATGCAAGTCAGGTAATTGAACGATAAGCTACAAATAATTAATTTGTCATTAAATAATTAATTATTCATGAATATTTAATTCATCAACGCCTATGACGACGATGCCATCGTCAATCGTGATGTTTCACATTAGACATTGTACGATGCAAAATTGGTTGAAATCACCCAACCCTAGTGTTGACGCAGAAGTATAAATCAGCCATAAGGCCAATTTTGCTTGCCTAATTCACCTATAGCGTATGTGTTTCGTACTGTGGGGGAAACTGAAGGACCCAGAGGAAACCCACGCCAACATGGAAAGAAAATGCAAACCATACACAGAAATGCAAACTGGACTCAAACCAGTTATGTTGCAAGGCCACAGTGCTAACCACTGAGCCACCGTGCCGCCTATTCTCAGAACTCAAGAAGTTTTATAGTTGTTATAACATAACAATGTTAGAAACTGACACACATTTAGAAAAAGTCAGGATATACTATAGCTATATAGGTTTTATTTTAACAGCATAGTTAAATTACAAATAAATTAAAACTACCATGTGAATGTTTTTTATGTTATATTTCACTTTTAACCCAATGTTGTATTTGTCCATATTGACCCAATGAGTTTAGAGTGTACTTCTGCCAGACGAGAAGAGCAAACTGAGACTGTACTTCTGATGAGTCTTAATATCTGCTGCAACATTCAGATGGTGGAATCAGAATTTGTTGTAAACAACATAAAAGCCTGGATCCATCCTGTTTTGTATCAGTGGTTCTGGCCGCTGTTGGGGCTGTAATGGTGTGGAGGAGATTTTCCTGGCACACTTTGAGCCCCTTAGTACCAACTGAGCATCCTTTAAACACCACAGTCTACCTGAACATTGCTGCTGACCATCCCTTTATGACCACAGCGTGTCCATCTCATGACGGCTACTTCTAGTAGGATAATGTGCCATTCCACAAAGCCCAAATTATCTATAACTGGTTTCTTGAACATGACAGTGAGCTCATAATACTCAAATGGCTCCACAGTCACCAGATCTCAATCCAATAATGCACATTTGGGATGTGCTGGAACAGAAGATTCACTCCATGAATGTGCAGCTGATAAAACTGCAGTGACATTATGATGTCAAGTCTATATGGAGCGAAATGCTTGCAGAAGGTAGTCCTAAAGGAAAAAGCAGTACTAACATGGTCCATTGAGGTACTGGCAATGTGTATTTAGTGAGGGATAACAACTAAAAATGTACAGTAGTCATTTAATAAAGTCAAATTTTATTCATTACATTCAATGATAAAACTAGAGTAAAGACCAGACTGACTTATATTTTCATTTACTTGACCATCAAAATAAGCTGCAATCCGCACCCTGGTTACACCCCTACTCTTTACGAGAAGTGCCATGGGATTTTTTTATGATCACAGAGAGTCAGAACCTCGATTTACCGTCTTATACAAAAGACTGCGTTCACTGATGGTATCGTGTCCCCTTCACTTTACTGGGGCATTAGGACTCACACAGACTACAGGTTGAGCGCCCCCTGTTGTCCTTACTAATTCCACTTCCAACAGCAACCTAGCTTTCTCATGTGGTCTCCCATCAGGTACCAGGCTTCAGTGAGTAATCAGTCTTGGGGTGCAGGATGATATGGCAGTGTATAGAGAGAATCAAGTCAGTAAAACAACAGTAAGCTCTATACTGTAGTACTATAATTTACACTAACCCAGGTTACAGATCACTTCAAACTAAAAAGTCAATAAAAGTCACTTTTCCAGACATTTCACCATCAAAAAATGTTGGATAAAAAGAAATCAAAGTCCCATAATGCAATTCGAAAGCATAAATAACTAAAATAAAATAAAAACCTTAATCACGAAATATGGAAAGCTGTTAATTTACAGATATTTTTTTACAGTGTAGTTTCAAAGTAATGTGAAAAATGAGGCCAGCAACTCTACACGTCACTCACCATGTTCAATTCTAAAGCTTATTTACAAGATCTGGCGAATACAGAGAAAGCATTGTCTGAAATAGCAGATGTTTCTTATCATAAAGCCACATCTACTGGCACAGGTGACAGGTGGACCATCTTAGATACAGATTTGAAAATGAAAATATTTCAGACTATTCATCACATTTTTACACCCAGGGCACCTGTGTTGGATCTTGCCATTAAAAATAATGTTAAAGATATAAATCAGGTTACACAAAACGCTGACCAAGAATTCCCATAATCCCTACAAGGTGCTAGAACTAAATGAGGCTTAGTGAGAATTAAACGAGGCTGATTTATTAGTAATACACTGCAAAAAATGCTTTTCTTACTTAAATTTTTTTGTCTTCTTATCAAAAAGTTCTTAAATCAAGAAGCATTTTCTAGACAAGCAAAACATATTGTCTTGTTTTCAGAAATAATATGCCGATATTAAGGGTGCTTTCACATCGGTTGTTAGCTTAATTTGGTCCGGACCAAGGGCAATAAATGATACATTGTTGCATTTTCTGCCGTCTTTGGGTTGTTTTCACACCACACTGCTGGCTTTGGTCTGAACCAGTTGAAAAGAACCAAAATGCACTCATCTGACAAAATCCACATCTCTCATTGGCCAGATGTTGTTGAACATAGTTCCTAAACTGCTTATCGATTGGTCTGAATTCATGTGCGGGAAAATGTCAATGAACAAGTAAACAAACCGGCAGACACAAAATCTCGCTTTTTACTATGGAGGGATGACTGCGCTGACTGATTGTATCCCTGCTTTAGACAAGCTATACATTTCAAGAATGAAGTGCGGCCGCGGCTGGAAAGCAATGTTTTAATGCATCGCACGTCACTTCAGGAGGAGGCGTGAATTAATTTAGCTAAACTGCGACATGGTCATCTTGCAGGAATATTACCAACGATCCATCAGGTAGTGTTTTTCCCTCTCTCTATTGGTAAAGCGCTGTCAACAAATATTTTTACTCCATATCCCATAATGCACAGCGAATCGGCCTACGGCAGCAGGATTAGTCCAAAAGGTGCAGTACTTTTTTGCGGTTGGGTCTGTTTTAGTTCGGATCATATTCTCACCACAAACGAACCGCTCCTGGGTTTGTTTGAAACCGTATTGAGACCACCTCTTCAAACAGGTCTCGGTACGCTTTTTTGGTCCGCTTGAGTACGATCTGCCCAAACGAACAGCACCAAGAGGTAAATTAACTCTAGTGCGATTCAATCAAACTAAATAAGGCAGGTGTGAAAGCACTCTAAGTGAGTTTTTTTTCTTAAAACAAGCAAAATAATCTACCAATGGGGTAAGCAAAATAATCTTGTTTTTTCCTTTTTACATAAGAGTAGTTTGCTGGAATAAAAGCAGTTTTTAATTTTTTATATTATTAGCCCCCTTAAGATTTTTTTCTTCCAATTGGCTAAAGAGCAAACTACTGTTGTCCAATGACTAGCCTATATAACCAAAAAACCTTGTAAAGCCTTTGCATTGCACTGTAACCCTTTCACATGTATAATCACACTGGTGTGATTAGAAAGTTAAGAGCACATGTCATCAATATACAAACAACAACAATAATAATAATAATAAAATAATAATATTAATAATATAATAATAAGAATAATAATATAATATAATGTAATATAATATAAAAGAAGAAATACCAATAATATAATAATTTAATAACTAAAAAGACTTAATATAACAATAATAACAATACTAATAATAATATTAAAATATAATAATATTAATATATAATAATATTAAAATATAATAATATATAAATAATATAATATAATATAATATACTAGTAATTAATATAATAATAATAATAATATAATTAATAATAATATATAATATAATATAATAATAGTAATAATAATAATATTTAATAACAAAATTATTTATAATAATAATATTATTATATAAGACTAATAATAATAATAATAATAATAATAATAATAATAATATTAATAATAATAACAACCATAATATTAATAATAATAATAATATAATATATTGTAATATAATATTGAAGTAATACCAATAATAAAATAATATAATAACTAATATAATAACTAATAATAATAATAATAATATTAATAATAATAATAACAATAATAAAATACAATAATATAATATTATATTATATTATATAATAATACAATAATAGTAATATAAATAATAATAATATTTATAATAAAATAATAATATAATATTAAATAATAATATTGAAATATAATATAATATAAAATAATATAATAATAGTAATTATAATAATAATTATAAAATAATAATATAATAAATAATATAAATAATAATACTACTAATAATAAATAATAATATTAAAATATAATAACATAAAATAATATAAAATAATATAATATAATGTAATCTAGTAATATTAATAAAAATTTATATTTTATCATATTAATAATAATAATAATAATAATGATAAAAACAATATGTACTGCTATCATGGCTAAGACAAAAAAAAGAGTAAATTAGAAATAGTTATTTCTAGTTAATTAGTTATGTTAAAAATGTGTTGAAAAAATCTACTCTGGTAAACAGCACTTAGGAAATATAAATGTAATACATTACTTTTAATAAAAATTATTTTCATAATAAAAAAAAATGCTTTTTCACTGGAGGGCAGATCATTGTGTCTTCATCTCTGTATTGCACATAATAAGAATAAAAAAGGTTTAATATAGAAAACAATAAACACATGTCATTTGTTTACACATTATATGAATTGTAGCAATGCTTAATAGTGCACCATTAGTAGTAGGAGCCACAAGACAATTATCTGCTGTTTTGACTCTCACCTGTCGCAGTGATTGCACTTAAAAGGCTTGGCGCCGGTGTGTTTGCGGTAGTGCCTCGTCAACTCGTCACTTCTTGCGAACCGCCATTCACAGCCTTCCCATGAGCACTTGTACGGCTTCTCCCCTGGTACAGACACACAAACACACACACCTGATTAAAAACTCTCTTTCTTTCTCAAGGGGCCTGGAAAATCCACGCCTCTGTCCAGCCAGCCGTCTAATTCATTTGTTTTAAGTTGATTAGCCTATCGGAGGAGTGTTGACACAATTGGAGTTTATGAAATACATGATCGTCATTAGAGTGCACAGCTGTCGAACCAAATGAACCCGCACTCGATGAGCTTCCAGCGAGATCTTCACGCGTTTAACAGATGTGAGCTGTTTCTGATGTTGTGTGTTTTTGGTTGCGGATGGAAGGCGCTTTGCAGGATCGCCGTACGTGGCTCGTATGGGGTCTCGGAGCTTGTTCATTAGCGCTGCTGATCGTAACGTATGAAATGGGGGGCAGGCAGAGTTTATTTGGATCTCTGGGAGAGGTGATAATTGGAGTAGTAATGATGGGTAATGGGGAGGAACCTCATATTTACTGTCAACCAGCTGGCCCTGTCTCCACTGTTTGCCATATTCACAAATCTTCGGGAACGAGACTGTGGCTTCATATAAATAGCTTGATGGAAAAAAACAGATTAAGAGCATTTTTATTGCAATGATGACTCCAGAATTGAACAAGCACTCGAATGTTAAATCAGAGTCCATCCTAGTTACTATCCTAATGTTCGTCCACTACACAGAATTCTTTTTTAAACACAAACAATAGTATATAGTAAAATATAGTACATGTATTAATTCTATATTTATTTATTCTCAAAATCTTCCTCAAGTTTTAAAAGCTATTTTTTTGCTCTTTTTTGTTTTGTTCCATCCATGCCTTTCTTTTTTGATCTGTTTCTTTTTTGTTTTTATCCATCCATCCATCCCTTTCTTTTTTTAATTTGTTTTGTTCCATCCATCCATCCATTCCTTTTTTCAATTTATTTGTTTTGTTCCATCCATCCATCCATCAATCATTGATCTATCCATCCCTTTCTGTTTTGATCCATCCATTCATCCATCCATCCATCCATCAATCATTGATTTATCCATCCCTTTCTGTTTTGATCCATCCATCCATCTATCCATTCCTATCTTTTTTTATCTATTTCTTTATTGTTTTGATCTATCTATCCCTTTCTGTTTTTATCCATCCATCCATCCATCCATCCATCCCTTTCATTTTTTATCTAATTTTTTTTAACCATCCATCCATCCATCCATCCATCCATCCATCCATCCATGGCGTTCTTTTTAAATCTATTTCTTTTGTTTCCATCCATCCATCCATCCATGCATCCATCCATTCATCCACCCTTCCCATTATTTTTTTTGTTATTTATTTAATTTTTTTATTATTTAATTTCTTTTTTGTTTTGATCCATCCATCCATCCCTTTCTTTTTTAATCATTCCTTTTTTGCGTCCATTCATTCCTCCATCCATTTTCATCCCTTTCCTTTTTGATCTATTTTGCATCTATTCATCCATCCGTCCCTCCGTCCGTCTATCCATCCATCCATCCATCCATCCATCCATCTATCCATTCATCCATGGCTTTCTTTTTTGATCTATTTCTTTTTTGTTTCCATCCATCTATCCCTTACTGTTTTGATCCATCTGCCTTTATTTTTTGATCCTTCCACCCATCCCTATCTTTTTATCCTATTTTTTTGTTTTGATCCATCCATCCCTTTCTGTTTTTATCCATCCATCCATCCATCCATCCATCCATCCATCCATCCATCCATCCATCCATCCATCCATCCCTTTTTTTATCTTTCTTTTTTCCATCCATCCATCCCTTACTTGTTCTATCTGTCTGTTATGTCTCACTTTTCATAATGCAGTTGTTGATTGTCAGCCAACATTATATGTATTTTTTTACATCTTGTTCTTTTTAAAAATAGACCGCTCTCTGCAAGAGAAAGGGTCTGCGAACACACCATCCAAACTTGTTGTTTTCCACCAAAAACCTTCCATGACGGCCACACTTTCATTCTGAGCAGTAAAAACAACAAGTTATATTTAGATCAGAATTCGAGCGCTAAATTGCATTCCCTTTCACACACACATTGGAGGCCCAGCCACATTAAGCAGGACAGGTTTAGACCTGTGCTCTCCACGACCACAGCACCAGCCAATTATAAGTCAGGGAGGCATGGATGCTCAAGTCTGTCGCTTAGCAACCGGGCAGGAGCGTAACGTAGGAGGCAGCAGTGGAGCCGGCTCGATCTGGCATCGCCTGTCCCTCTGTGCCACCAGCCAATTACAGCTCTTACTGGCAGGGGAGGATGCAGTTGCCTGGCAACCGGGAAGTTACATGATACATGTATGTACAAGTGGATATACAGTGGCCTCCACTAATATTGGCACAGTTGGTAAACATGAGCAAAGAAGGCTGCGAGAGAAATGTTATTGTTTAACCTTCTGATCTTATGCTCAGAATATTAACAAGCAATTGTAAACACAGCATAGTTTAATAAATAAAAAAAAAAAACAGTTATTAGCACCCTTACAAATTAATATGAATTCATATCATTCATAGGCCCAGTGATATTTTGCATTTGTTTTGTACACCTTGGTGACTAGAAATAGTCCATTGTTTAACTGTGACCTCCGGTTTCACAGAGAAAGGAGAAAACACACAGGCTGAACTCATCACCAAAGAACAGAGCAGTGATTGCTGCTGTTAAGCTTTCAAAATAAAAAGGGAAGTGGCTATAAGACAGTAGTAAAAACACTAAAAATGTCCATTTTCACTATCAGAGAAATAAATGATAAATTCCAGTCAACTAGAAGTGTTGTGAATCAGTCTGAAAAATTATGTGTGATTTTGTGTGTTTACACTGTTAGCATCATGATTTGCGTTGGCAAAAAGAATCCAGCTGAGGAACTGCAGAGGTTAGTTTAGACCTGAAGTCAAAACGTCTCTATCTATCTATCTATCTATCTATCTATCTATCTATCTATCTATCTATCTATCTATCTATCTATCTATCTATCTATCTATCTATCTATCTATCTATCTATCTATCTATCTATCTATCTATCTATCTATCTATCTATCTGTCAATCTGTCAATCTATCAATCAATCCATCCATCCATCCATCCATCCATCCATCCATCCATCCATCCATCCATCCATCCATCCATCCGCTTGTGTATCAATCCATCAATTTGTTTATCTATCTATCTATCTATCTATCTATCTATCTATCTATCTATCTATCTATCTATCTATCTATCTATCTATCTATCTATCTATCTATCTATCTATCCATCCATCCATCCATCCATCCATCCATCCATCCATCCATCCATCCATCCATCCATCCATCCATCCATCCATCCATCCATCCATCCATCCATCCATCCATCCATCCATCAATTTGTTTATCTATCTATCTATCTATCTATCTATCTATCTATCTATCTATCTATCTATCTATCTATCTATCTATCTATCTATCTATCTATCTATCTATCTATCTATCCATCCATCCATCCATCCATCCATCCATCCATCCATCCATCCATCCATCCATCCATCCATCCATCCATCCATCCATCCATCCATCCATCCATCCATCCATCCATCCATCCATCCATCCATCCATCCATCCATCCATCCATCCATCCATCCGCTTGTGTATCAATCCATCAATTTGTTTATCTATCTATCTATCTATCTATCTATCTATCTATCTATCTATCTATCTATCTATCTATCTATCTATCTATCTATCTATATATCTATATATCTATCTATCTATCTATCTATCTATCTATCTATCTATCTATCTATCTATACACATATTTTATGCAATAATTCAGTTTGGCGCATAAAGTTAATTTGCATCTTTGGATGGAAACATAGCTATTGATTGTGATTAATTTTATACAGAGTCTGTTATAAAATACATATAAAGACATATTAAACATATTAAAACCATGAATGATTTAAACTAAACAAATGCAACAGAAAGTGCTTTATGGTTTATTGGAGATTCTAACAGTTTTGAGGTTAAATGTGAAATAAAAATCTGATGTAATTGATTTAAAATGAAACTGTTTAGTCTTTACTGTATGCATAAATACAATTAATCTTTGTTAAAATATTCACATTGCATAATTTCTTGTACCCATTTTGGTTAAAATTAGGTTGAAATCTTAGTCACACACCTTAAAAATCCTCTCATTATATTAGCATTACATTTATTCACCTCTGAACTCTTTCTTGGTTAATTATAAATGCCAACATTTCAGATCCTGTGATCTATTGCAGATTTGCACATTTGGAATATCGTTGCTGAAATGATATATTGTGCAGCCCTACAATCTAATATCACTTGTATAACAACAAATAGTTTAAAGGTGCTGTGAGTTTCTGACTCTTCTAAAGCATAAAAATACCATAATATGTTTGCTGATATTTAAGAAACATGCTAAGAGAACATTCTTCTGAAATGAAAAACAATGCTGAAGTCAGATATTCTACATTGAAAATGTTTTTAAGTGTCAACGTTGTCTTTGTTTTGGTTCTTTTAACCAGGCCAATGACAGTTTAGCCAATTATATTTCAGCACCCCATTTTGCCTTTGTGGTTTGATTTAATTTATTCAGTCAGGAAGGTTCCCAAAGCATGCGTCCGTGACCGAAATGCGACCTCTGGTGGAAAGTAACAGCCTCTAAAATAAGATGCAGAATCAGAGTTTTACATAAGCTTATTAATTAGCAAATTATATCAATATTATGAATGTAAACATTAGGTAAGCAGGTTACATTGTAACTACGCTACATGAAAAGATTTGCAGTGATATGCAATTGAGCTGTTTGCACTAGACGAAACACGTCAGGAATTTAAATACAGCCATTCTGAAGCACAGAATAGTGCACTCACTGCACTCCAACATAATGGAAAGGTTTATAATCTAATTATTCATTCATTTTCTTGTCTGCTTAGTCCCTTTATTAATCTGGGGTCACCACAGCGGATGCCCTTCCAGCCACAACCCATCCCTAGGAAACATT